AGTGGCTATCTTTAGAGCACTCCAGCAGTTAAATTTGAATAAATCTTTTGTGTGTCGTACCATCAATCGTTACCGTCATACTAGAAGCGTAGCCCGACGTCAGCAGAAATGGTTCGAAATGTAAAGAAGCGACTTGATAGAAACCCGCGTTGCAGTGGCCAAAAAAATGGCTTGTGAGCTGAACATATCGCAATATTCCATTCGGCAAATATTGAAAAATGAGCTCGGGGTAAAGCCATTGAAATTCCAAAAGTGCAAGAACTTACACCGCACCAGAAAGAAAATAGACTCAAAAGAGCTAAGGAGTTGCTTCGCTTGGCCGAAAGTGATGAACTTCCGAAATTGGTTTTCTCCGATAAGAAAATAATCGATGTCCAGCAGTTTGTAAACAAAGAAAATGATCGTTTTTATTTCCAAAGAGGTCAGCTGAAAATGTGCCTCTTCGATTGGCCACCAGAACTCAAGCGCCGGTCATGGTAATGGTGTGGGCCGCCTTATCAGCCGATGGTCGCTCTCCGTTCGTATTAATCGACCGTGGCATCAGAATAAATGTCGAATATTATCGCGAAAATATTCTGGAGGGTGTATTAAAGCCACCGGAATCTTGGGAGTCTGTCTGGGGTATTTTGGAAAGCAAGGTTGGCACTAAAAAAATACCAAAGTGTCGATCACCTCAAGCAAGCGTTTCACCGGGAATGGGCCAAAATACCGCAGAGCAAATTTCGGGCAGCATGTGACGGTTCATTGTCCGTTTGAAGGCCATAATTCGTGCCAAAGGCGACCAATTCAAACAAATCTAAAATTATTCTAAAATTTGTTGCTATTTCCGACACTTTTTGCTTTCGTTCAATAAAATTAAAAAAAAAAAAAATTAAAAATTATGGCGTTGCGGTTTTTTTATCTCACCCTGTATAGTAAGCATTCCCAAATCCACCTTCTTCTCTCAAAACTATATAAATAGACAATTTTCAGTCAGAGTCTGTAGTACCTATCAGGAACTACACATATGAAATTTCTAACAATTTCGGTGAATATTTTACCTTAAATAGTCAAAATACCGAATATATGGAGGTACTGATATATGGGACCTATACGAAGACCCGGACCTGCATAGACAATTTTCTTCCATGGGCTGTAGTATCCAGTACGAACTTCAAATACCAAATTTTAAACAATTCCGGTGAATAATTTTGCTAAAATTATTAAAATACCGAACATTGGGATTTCAGACAATTTCATTCTTGTCTTCTTGTCTTCATTCGTTTTTACTCTAACGTGATTACAGCAGACGGACGGAGAGAAAGGACACATCGTGAACCTATATAGACAAAACTCTTCCAGGGGGTAAAGTACTCAGAAGGAACTCCTTTTGTGGATTTTCAGATCATTTCAAAATTGGGCTACAATCATACAAATATAATAAGGGGGGGCTACCGTTATGTGGGGACTATACCATATCGTGGACCGATATAGCCCACCTTGACATGCCTGCAGACAAAAGACTGATCTGTGCAAAATTTTAGCTTCCTATATTCATTGGTTTTTAATCTAACGTGATGGCAGCAGACGGACCGACAGGATAGGACATATCGTGGACCTATGTAAAGAATACTCTTTCAGGGGGCAAAGTACTCATAAGGGACTCTTTTGGTGGATTGTCAAAAAATTTAATTGAACATTTTGGCTACAATCATTAAAATGCCGAATATCGCGGCTGGGGGGTACCATTATATGAGGCTATATGGGGGCTATACCATATCGTGGACCGATATAGCCCATCTTGACCTGCCTGCAGACAAAAGACTCATCTGTGCAAAATTCCGCTTCCTATCTTCATTCGTTTTTACTCTAACTTAATTACAGCAGCCGGATAGACGAAAAGGGCTAAATCGTCTTAGCTTTACGCCTATCAAGAATATATATACTTTGTTATGTCTAAAATTATTATTTCGTTGAGTTATAAACGGCATGACGACCACACTATGTATGGTGGTGGGTATAAAAAAAATCAAAATAGGCAACACTGTTTGCCGGTAGTAATGCCAACAACATACACAACGTAATAGGTGGGAGGAAGGGCGGGTTGGTTTGCCATGTAAACAATACTCCACCCTCGCGTATGGCGTGTCACAGTCAACACTTTGTTTGTATGTTTACTGAGAATGTTAAAGCTTACGCTCCTGAAAATTAGAGAAAATAACACATCAACAACAAAAGGGAATTGTTAAAAAAATTTTATTGAATTGTAATTCTAATTGCGTCATAAGTTTGAAAGTTAAACAGTGTTGGTCAAATTTTGATGTCATTTTCTGGGAATTGTTTTGTATGGCCTATGCCACCATTTAATTTGGATTAGCTACTGTATTCTTATTAAGTGATTTTTGTTTATTTTATTCGAAATGACAATTGATATGTTTTTGACGACTAAGTCGCCAGTAGGTCAACACATTTATAGGATCCACATTTTGATTTCTTGAAGATGCTTTGATTCAGAACTTGAAAGAATTTCTTTTGGTTTACTTTTATGTACAGTACGCCATAAAAGGTAGTTGGTAATTTGGTTGAACTAAAAAATGTTGCTTTTAAAGGACATTTTTCTAGTATTTTTCTGGTTATGACAATTCAAAATTACAATATATTACTATATCCCCAACGGAACCAAATTCGAATTTTCTGGCTAAAGGCCTTTTGTACTTCGTTCGGTTTTCGATAAACTTAATATTCGCTGACAATAAAAGGAAGATTTCCTTCAAACAAATTCTACGAAAAGGATGATTCTATATTATGGAATTTTACTAACCCATCTGAATGAAGGCATAGTAGTGCCAAAGTCTATGCACATTATATCTGTCGGCCTTCATAGCTAATATTATTTTTTTGTTTAACATATGTTTAATTAATAAATCTCTTAATTAATAAATCTCTTTATAAATTATTTTTTCAGAAAAAATGGTTACGATGAACGAGTACAATACACTATCACAGAGAAAAAGGACAAGAAACCACCAAAGGCCCATGTAAATGCATTGTTTTTCAAACAGTTGCGACAAATTCTACGTAAGTATAATGACATTATTTAAAATCTTGCATTTTTATACCCTACGCTTGTCTGCTGTACAGGGCATTACGTCTTTGTGAATTATTTTGTAACATGCTGAAGGAAATGAAATGGATCGTGATGAAGATCTTCATAGAATCACATTCTTAGTTCATTTATGTTTGCCTATCCAAGTATTTGGTGTAAACCAAGTTCAGGTCGCATTTATTTTCCGATTGAGATGACATTTTACACAAATCATTTTTTTGGCGAAAAACGAAAACTTTTTTAAATTTTTGAGTATCGGTCTAAATTTTGATGAAGCTCCCGTTTATATCTTCGTTCGATTTCGATTGATATTGGTATTATTCATTCAAATACAATATATTTCGGCTCATCCGACCGAATTCAGTCTAGAATCAAATACTTTAAATTCAGTGAAAATCGGTTCAGATATAGCTTTAGCTCCCACAGATATGTTTCATCCGATTTGGTGTTTAAGTCCTCACATCCGTAATATGCATTCCATACCGTCGCTCATACGGTGGGCAAAGAGGTATGAAGATGAGGTCCCTCCAGGATTTTGTCTCCAGTCTCGCCACCGTAGTATCTCCGCCACTGAACTTACTAAATAAGATTAGGTTTAGATTTTTTTTAGCAACGATGCACGTCCTTACCTTGTCACCATGGGAGACTGCGTAAGATACGTACGTCCCACTTCCTAGTCCAGTCACTCGCTTGTTGTGGATATAGAGTTCCTGAACCAGGGCTATGTCTAATTCAGCTTTCGTGAGGGATAGGAGAAATTCGGCAGCAGCTGCATTGCAGTGATGCAGATTAACCTGCATGATGTTAAGCTGCTGCTGTTTCCTTCCTCCTAATGCAGTGGTGCTAGTCGGAAACGGATCCAAACGGTTCCGAAATGCAACTTGACCCCACGAGCTTGAAGATAATCCTGGCCATCCGTATCAATAGATACCTCGACTACCCCCCTCAATGCTCGAACTAACGATAAGCCAGTTGTCTGTTCTGAGGTTGGGGGTTTGTTTGCTGAGTATTGTCAGAATGCGTACCGTATTCACCGATGGTGGTGGCAACCAAGCTGTCAGTACTTTACGGCAGGGGATCTCCTTCAAGGATACAACCGCTAAATTGCAAATTTGGTAACAGATATCAGCTACAGCTCAGAAATACCTCTGCAAAATGTTATCGAGATCGCTTCAGATTTAGATTTAGCTTTCTTCATCCGATTTCACGTTGATTATGCAACAAATGTGAAATATCAGACCAAATTGGATGGATATTTGGATATTTAATGGAATTCACCCTGGAAACTAATACGACATTCCACATTGCTTCGATATGCTTTTTTTAATATAGTCCTTCTCAAGTCATATCATGCATCATCTATGTCAATGTTATTTGGTACGGGAGCTACAAATGCCTTGGTCAAATTTGGGGGAAATCGTTTGAGAGTTGGATATGCATCCCAAATGTTACTTCCCTCTAATTTCAAATTATAACTAATCTGAAGCTCTACTATATATTGGTAGCTCTACTAAATATTCTTATTGGTGTAGGTTAGCATATTGCCAGCCCGAACGAATTTCGAACTTTTTCACTGGTTAGCCAATGCAAATCCTTTCATTTTTGATTAGACCGGAGGACAACTTTTTATACCACCTACCATAGAAAGAGGGGAGGGTATATTATTTTTACCCTTTCCTCTTCACTCTTCTAATTCCCGCACTATTTGAACGCCTTGGGCGGAATGTTACAGTGTTCTGTAATCATGTTCATTTTAGGTTTTGTGTCGAATCTCATTTGAAAGAGTATTGACTTCTCACTCAATCACTAAGTGGTCTTTGCTCCCCATCCAGTTTCTCCACTTTATTGATAACCCTCTACCAAATTACAGATGTCTTGAAATAAAGTCAAAAATCTTTGAACAAAATCTTTAAAGTACAGTGCTTCCATGTAATGAGAGGATTCCGGTTTTATTTAAAATATTTTGTAGGGTTACAACTGTGTGCATTGCGTTTTTATTGAAACATCCACAAATTAACGACGATATCTTCTTCGACTGCGATTACGTCGGCGATAAGGACTAGCAGTTGTTTCAAATTTATTTGGTTGTAGAACATCATCATAGTTTAAGGATCCGACATTTGCAGACACGGGGCAACAATTGTTTGATTGTTCGGAATCTTCCCTTATTTTACCATGCCCTGCTCGTAAATTTACAATTCGTAGGGAATTTTGCCATAATTTTGTACAATTTTCAATAATTTTTCGACACAAACGCACCGATTTCTTTTGCAATAAATAAAAATGATCGGTTGCATAACCAACACATATAAGAAATGTTAAACTTAACGCCGTTGTTGCTGTTCCCAGTATATATTGTTCCCAGTCCATGTAGATTTTTGGCCGTAGACCAGCAACAAGAAATATAATTTTGATCATTCTGCACGTTATATTCTCAATGGTACACCAAACAATTAACGCACTGAATTCGACAAGCAATAGACTCATCACTGTTTCGGCTGCAACCTGGCACAGATACGGCAGATGCCTATATCGTAGAGGAAATATTTCGATATCCAAAAGTAAATCGAAAAATCCTATTATAAATAACCAACTTGCCAAAGTCGGAGCATTGGAACACAAATCGGCTTTCTGTTCGATGAAAAATGATACGCCCAATATCGAATGTAGCGATGCTGTTATTGCTACTGCCAATCCGGAGACCATTTCTGCGATGGGGTGAAGGAATTTTTAGTTATTACAAAAATAAATTATAAAACAATATTTTTGTAAAGAAATTTAAAGTTCTTTTTATTGACAGACATTGCCAAGACTGATTCGGTGAATACTCAAATTGCTCATCAAATTTTTGGAAAATGTTTACCCCGATAGTTATCCACTTGCAAGTTAAAGCGGAAAACTATTATGCGTTTTGTACGAGTCAAACTCTCTGGGACTAAGCAATGTGAGACACGCATACCGTAGCTATCTGCGATGAAATTGGAAGAGGAACAAGGTTTTCAAGTCTCTTGCCGGCAGCTCTTGGGGAGCTAAGAATGAGAGCGAGTGAAAATGGCAAATTTTGACTCAGTAACTCAATTGTTCTCTCTCTAAACTGAGTAGCATTCATTCTGAAGCGATTAGAGAAGCTATGGAGAAATAGGGTGTTGTTTTTGTAGCAGTAGTACATGTAGATTTTTGTATTCTGCTAATCTGGTTCAAGCTCCAGATTTAAAAATTCGGCTACTTTAACGGGCTGTAGTCAGAGATCTTCCGGAGTGAGTTGGGTAGGTTTGGCTGTGCAATTCGTCAATTCGTGCCCAATACGAATTGAGACGACTTCACCATCCTGAACGTAATTGCGCCAAAACTACCCCGGTTTGTCTAGACAGCTTGTGTTTTTCACCTGCAATAGATGGGGGTGGACTCAGAGGACTGCATTCATCCTATAATTGCTGATAGCATCTGCGACTGACTGCATCGGTATGAATGCCACTCAGGCCTGCCTGATAGACTTCTTGATCAAGAGGTTCTCTCTTATACCGTTGGACCTCCCTCTCTAGATCGTGTATGTCCTTCCTGACACGCCTGGGTGGGGGAGTTGTATACACCATATGTTGGTCGGGATGACACTCACGGTAACACCCAATCAGGTACTGCAACGAAAGCATATGATTATGTTGACGTAAGGGAAGGACTTTCGCCTCCTCATGTAGATGGTCCACTACGACTGGCGTCCACACATATAGTAGGTAGTTCGCTGCACGTTCTCAAATAGTATGGATTGATCTATCAAATACCTTTGTTATGGTTCCTCCTTCGCTTCGCCCTGTCGCTTTCGGGGTGCTCGACAAATTGTCGGTTAAAATACTCAGCGGAACTCTTCGGATCAGTCACCGTTACGTCGTTCAAAGTGACTGAGGTCCTATCATCCTTTTTTTCCAGGGTTCGACAGCGACACTTAACCGTTACCCACAGCTTACTCATACCGATTCCAAATTTGCAATGCTTCAGATGGTCTGATCACTTTTTCCTCTGATGCTCCTGTACCAACCGGTTGACTTCCACTGTCAAATCACTGATTCTAGGATCAGTAGGGTTTTTACGATGGAGATGTCACGTTCATTACAGAGTGAATACCGGCCTCGGAGATCATTCGCTAGCAATTGCTAAGGGCTACCTCTACATACCAGATTATTGCTAAACTGCGTTTTAGATTGTGTGTAGCCCCGTAATTCGTATTGGGTACGAATTGATAGCAATGTTCAGAAAATCTGCCTACCATGTGGCAAAGGCCTATATGAGACGTTGCACATCTTTAATTGCCCAGTCCAACCTACTCACCTAACTTCAGTATCGATGTGGATCCAGTCCATACAGGAACTTGAAGTTAGAAGCTGAACCACATTAGAGTTGCATCAGAACGAACAAGCATCACGAGCTGCTATAATAACAACATCTCCGTAAATACCAACTGTATTTGTCCAGCAACGAATGCCTTCCGGCCTTTAAGTATAGCTACTTTAGCTCCTTTATAACGGCACTTCTCGGTTATCAGATTTTGATATTTCAGTCACATATCGCACGATATGCTGCCCGACAAACTCTAGTAGTTTTGGCTAAGTTAAGATTAGGATAGTGCAGCCGACTCAATTCCTATTGGGAATTGGGATTGATAACGACCTGCAGAACATCTGCCCAGTTTGTGGCACAGGTCCACATGACACGGTGCAACTATTTCGCTGCCAAAACTATTCAACTAACTCCAGTATCGTTGTGGACCCAACACGTATAGGTTGCTTCTTTTTTTAAACTGGACTTAGAAGCAGAACCGGATTGAGAGAAGTCAGAACGAACACAGCTGTATGAGGTTCTACAACAACAACGATCACAATTTGAAATTGAGCTTCTTTATTAAACTTTAAACTTTTGCAAATTTATTTTTTAACCATGCCACAGCCATATTCTAAACATATGGTACATGGCAGAACGTGTGAAGAATTTATCACTGTTTTTTCAACATCGGGCGCTAAGTCCAACGATTTGCTACTCCTTTTAAATCTTTGTTAAACCTATGAGGCTCGGGACAATGGCGTACCCCACTCAAATGATGAAATCCTCCATAACATGTTACAAAATATATGCACTTCCATTCGTAATCCATCCATAGGTTTCAAAATAAAAATAATGCCAAGAAAAAAATTCGCCTAAATTTGGAGAAGTTCAACATTAATTGTAATTTTTTTTCTTGCAGCCATATTAATTCCCAGATTTTGGAGTATGGAAAGTGGACTTTTAGTTCTGGTAGCAGCTTCACTGGTTGGACGCTCTGTCAGTGATATTTGGATGATACAAAATGCCACTGTGGTGGAAAGCACAATTATCCATATGAATAAACCTGCGTTCCAAAAAGCTTTAATAAAATACTTAGCTGCATTGCCAATGGTAGAAACAATTTCATATTTCTATTAAATTTCCACTTTAATTTCATTCTATCATTTAGATTTCTGTTGTAACCAACATCTTAAAATGGAGTTTAGGTGAACTGAAACTAAGATTTAGAACAAATTTAACACATCATTTGTATAATCAATATTTGAAGTAAGTTTTGAAAATAATTAATAAATTTAATAATATATTTTAATAACAAATATTGTCATTTATACTCACAGCGGTTACACCTACTACAAAATGTCCAATTTAGACAATAGAATAGCCAATGCCGATCAATTGTTAACAACCGATATTGATAAGTTTTGTGAAAGTGCCACAGACTTGTATTCGAATATCAGTAAACCCATATTGGATATATTCATATATGTTTATCGTTTGACCACAACTTTGGGTGCCAAGGTAAAACGATTGGTTCCAAAAAAACAGTGTTTCAAAATCTCATTAATTTACATTCATATTCATTTTAGACACCCTCCATACTTATGATGTATTTAGTGGTAGCTGGTGTTTTCCTTACACGATTGCGTCGCCCCACTGGCCGCCTCACTGTGGAAGAACAAAAACTTGAAGGTGAATTCCGCTATGTTAACAGCCGTCTGATCACAAATTCCGAAGAAGTTGCCTTCTATCAGGGCAATACACGTGAAAAGCTAACCCTGTTGGCCAGCTATTCGAAATTACGTTCACATTTGCGTAAATTTTTGGAATTCCGTGTTGGCATGGGTATTGTGGACAATCTTGTGGGGAAATGTAAGTTTCGTGTTCTTTTTTTTGTGAATCTAACTGCATATTTAATGTATTTCATTTTCCAAACAGATTTTGCTTCTATTGTTGGTTTCTATGCTGTGTCCATACCCTTCTTTACTCCCAACCATCCCATGTTGTCTGGTGAAAATAGTGGCAAACGTTTACAAGTAAGTTAAATGGCATAGAATCAATTTGATTTTTTTTTTTAATAGGGGAAAATTTTTTCGAATTTCAAAATAGGGATAAAAATGCTACGTTCCATAACCAGGAGCAATCATATTCTTCTCATATATTTTTTCCATATCACAAAGGAAAAATTCGTTATTGCAATAACAAAATTGGCATTCTTGCAGATCTAGAACAAATCAAGTGCAAGGAAAATACTTTTTATACCCTCAGTCATATTGGCTAGAGAGAACATATACCATTTGATACGGCCAAAACTTGCCTCAACGAAATAACGGTTTTAAATACTAGGTCTCTTTGGAGTCGATCTAGCGATGTCCGACCATCCGTCCATCTGTCTGGCTGGTGCGCACGATAACTCGAAGGGTGTTTCCGATTTGATCCGAACTTGTTACATTGTAATATTAATGTCAAACTTAGATCGAGTTCGGAGTTGGGCAATATAGGTCCATTCCTTCTGGTACCTTCTTCACAAAATGTCAATATTTTCGAAGAAAATAATTTACTGGAAAGAAAGAGAAAGGATAATCCGAATTTTTTCCAACTTTGCAAATCCTAATATTTGCATCAGTGCTAGGTCAGGTTCGAAAATGGACAATATCGGTCCACTCCAACAAGTACCTCCCCCACAAAGGGTCCAAATATTGAAAAATTATAACTCCTAAAAAATGTGATATAAGTGTCCGATTCTCTTCAAATTACACGTATCACAATATTTGTATTAAACCAAGGTCTGGTGTGAAGATGAACTATATCGGTCCACTCCTTCTGGCAACACCCCCACAAAACGTCGATATTTTCAAAAAAAAATCTGCACATAAAGAGAAGCAATAATCCGATTTTTGCAAATCCCAATATCTGCGTCAGTTCTAGGTCAGGTGTAAAAATGGATAATATCGGTCCACTCCATCAAGAGCCTACCCTACAAAGGTTAAACATTTTGAATAATCATAATTCGTATAAAATGTGATGTAAGAATCCGAATGTCTTAAAATTCCACACATCCCAATATTTTTATAAACCCAAGATCTGGTGTAAACATGGAATATATCAGCCCACTGCTTCTGATACCTCCCCCATTTTTGATATTTGAATTTTGAATTTTAAATATCCACTGAGCTCATAAAACGCGAAATTAATATCCGATTCAGATTTGGCACAGCTCAATATTTCTATCAACACAAGATCTGTTATAAAGATGGTAGAGATAAGACCATTCCTTCTGGTACCTACCCCACAAAGGGTCAAAGTTTTTTAATAACAAAAACGATCATAAAAATCGAAATAAGCATCCGGTTCTCTTCAAATTACACACATCACAATCTTTTTATTAAAACCAAGGTCTGGTGAGAAAATGGTATATATCGGTCCAGTCCTTCTGGTACCTCCCCAAAAAAGGGTCAAAATTTTGAATATCCACGAAGCTCCTAAAACGCAAAATCAACAT